CCCAAGATCCCAAGAGGAGAATGGAGGAGAAGGGATTGCGGCATGGCCATCCCCCTGGGGGGTGATTTCTCGCTTTCTGTCTCTCTGTCTCTTCTCTGTCTGTGTGGCAAGCACACGCACCCTATAGCGAAAACCTCTCCAAAAAAAAAAAAAATTCTTAAAGGTTACCTAACAAAGGAATCATAACTGGAGCTTACATATCTTATTTTGCTGAGTTTTGTTTTTTTACAGAATTCTTACACTAAGAGACACCTATGATTTTGAAATAAATGTTTGAGAAGAGTACTTCCATTTTTCTAGTTAAAGAATAGTTTTCTTAGATATAAGTTGTAACACAACATAATTAATATGAAGTAGAGTCCCATCCTTAAACATGACGTCAGTCAGAATTTGTTGCTCTTTTAATAAGAATAGTTTACAAAGCACTTTTGAGACACAGATTATTTTCATTTAAATCTTATTGATTTAAGTTTTGGTTGATAAACTCACGTGGTTCAAAGTCAAAAAGTAAAAAGAAAATTAGGTAAAAAGTCATACTCTGTCCCCAGTGACCCATTTCCTCTCCCGAGAGGTAAATGATATTATCAGATTATTGGGTGTGCTTACAGAGACGTTAGTAAACCCTGCTCTGCAATTTTTTTTTTTACCTTTAACTTAATAATTTGAAAAATGACTCCATGTCAGTTTTTTTTAAAAATATACCTTTATTCTTTTGTTAAAGGTGTGTATTCAACTGAGGATATATCCAAATGTATTTGATGTTTTATTTTATTTATTTATTTATTGGAGAGGTTTTTCGCTATAGGGTGCATGCGCTTGCCAGACAGACAGAGAGAGAGAGACAGAGACAGAAAGCGAGAAATCACCCCCCAGGGGGGATGGTCACGCCGCAATTCCTTCTCCTCCATTCTCCTCTCGGGATCTTGGGCACGCACGCACACGCGCCTAGCGTGAGTTTTAAGCCACCGGGTCCGGGACACGAACTGCAGTCGACTATGTGGGAGTCTAGCGACATAGCCATTACTCTAACTGCTGGTTCCCCTGAGGTTTTATTGATAGAGATTTCGACTGTATTCACCCTTTCCTCCTAGACACATTGCTTCTATGAATAGTCTTTTGGACAAACGCTTTTGCAGTTTGGCTAGCTATTGCTGAATTGTCTTCCAAATGGGTTGTATCAATTTATATTCTCACTACCAAGTATGAAACTGTGTAAGCTGGCGGTCCCCAACCTTGGTGCCAGGGACCAGCCTTGTGGAAGACAATCCCTCTAATCTCTCCACAGAGGGGGCAGGGTAAAAAGGGGAGTAGTGGCCCCAGGATGACCCAAGCGTACCACATACACTGTGCACCCCGTCTCCACCACTACCACATTGCAATGCAGTGAAACAAGCACACACAAGGGGGTGTGTGCTCCCATGAGAATCCAGTGCCCACACGGAGACAAGAGGTGGCACCCAGCAGCAATGCCAGCGACAGGGAGCAGCTGCAAGTGCAGGCATAGCCTTACTCACTCACTTGCCACCTCCCCCACACTGGGTGGTGGCCGTGCCTGAAACCAGTCCAGGACTTGGGTTAGAGACCGCTGGTGTTAGCCACAAAGTTCACATGAGAAAAATATTACTTAACTTGGTAAATATTCTGTGTCCCTTGAGACAGGTATTGGAAGTTATGTTAGACTTTAGAGCACATCTTTGAGTGATCCAGCTGAGGAATGTTTATAGCCTGGATCTTAGTTTTCTTTAGTTCCCAAATTGCTTTAAGGTCCAAGAGATCCTTTCCTGATCTTCTCTTTCCGGTCAACATTTCTGCTGGCTCAGGATTGTATTTGGGTCTGTTGTTGCAGCTTCTTCTTCCAGGCCTTCTCCTTCCTGTCTTGTGGCCATAGCCTTGGGCCTTCTAGCCGCAGTTCTTACGAGTCTGCTGATATACCAGTGGATCCTGGGCCAGGGTAAGTGTCTTCAAGCAAAAGTAATCTTTCATTTTTTCCATTTTATATTATAAAAGCAATGTTGCCTAAGAGATCATGTGAAAAGTAAAAGATAGTCTAAGAATATAAAATCACCATATAGCATAATGACTATGTCGCTGGACTCCCATGTAGTCGACCACGGTTTGCGTCCCAGACCTGGTGGCTTAAAACTCACGCCGGGTGCATGTGCATGTGTGCCCACGATCCCGAGAGGAGAACGGAGGAGAAGGGATTGCGGCGTGACCATCCCCCCGGGGGGTGATTTCTCGCTTTCTCTTTTTTCTGTCTGGCGAGTATGTGCGCCCTATAGCAAAAAAAAAAAAAACAAACTAAAAAAAACATTAAAAAAAAAAGAATATGAAATCACCATCTACCACAACGATTTCCTAAATCACCAACTATTTCCAACTTTGAGGAGGTGTCCATATGCATTTGCATGAGTATTTATATATTTTAATTTTTTAGTTTTCAAATTTTTGCTATAGAATACATGCACTTGCCAAAGAGAGACAGAGAGAGAAAGAGAGTGTGAGAGAGAGAGTGAGAAATCACTTCCCATGGGGGATGGCCATGCTACAATCCTTTCTCCTCCATTCTCCTCTTGGGATTTTGGGCACACATGTGCAAGTGCCCAGAGTAATTTTTTTAAGCCTCCGGCTTTGGGATTTGAACTATACAGTTAGCCATGTGGGATCCAGCTACCTTAATCTTGAAGACATCTGCTGGCCCCAGTAGTTATTTATTTTTTAAACAGAATCACAACCAAGTCTTTTAAAAATCTTTGCCACTGTTTTTTTCTTTTTTTTCCCTTTCTTTCCCAGAGCAAGGCTGAGACTGTTTTGATCACATCATGTTTATAATTTTGTGTATTACTTCGTAATTTTATGTTGTGTCAAACATTTTCCTACTTGCTACCACTTACTATCATATTTATCATGATCAGTAAATTATAATATTAAGGGTGTTGAGTCCCACATGATAGAGAAATAATAATTTTATTACACATATTCTGACCTTTTTCCCTTTTAGATGTTTTCACATTTGTAAAAATGAACTTTTTCTAAGTTTAGTTCTTCTGTATTCTTTTTTTTTTTTTGAGAGGTTTTTTTTGCTATAGGGCATGTGTGCTTGCCAGACAGACAGAGAGAGACAGAGAGACAGAAAGCGAGAAATCACCCCCCGGTGGGATGGCCACGCTGCAATCCCTTCTCCTCCATTTTCCTCTTGGGATCTTGGGCACGTATGCACATGGTTCTGGCGTGAGTTCAAGCCATCAGGTCCGGGACTCGAACTGCGGTCAACTACATGGGAGTCCAGCGACATAGCCATTACGCTAACTGCTGGTCCCAGTTCTTCTATATTCTTAAAAAAAAATTTTTTTTAGAGAGATTTCTGCTATAGGGCACATGTGCTCGCTGGAGAAACAGAGAGACAGAAAGACAGAAAGTAAGAAATCACCCCCGGGCAAGAGTTGGCCACCCTGCAATCCCTTCTTCTCCATTCTCCTCTCAGGATTTTGGGCATGCATGCACACACACATGGTGTAAGTTTTTAAGTTGCCGAGTCTGGGACTTGAACTATGTGGGAGTCCAACAACATAACCATTATGCTATCTGCTGGTCCCGAATTCTATATTCTTAAATTCGGTGATCCAGAAGGCTTGCATTTTATTATTCTACAACTTGGAGTTCTAACTTAGGTTAATATTATCAGGGTGCTTGTTGGGGACAGAGTATCCAGAATTAGCATTTTTAAAGTTCGGTCCCAGGTTCTCTACCGCAGACCAAAGCCCTACCTCTGACTGAAAGAGAGTTGCAGGGAAGTTGGGGATTTCTTTCTTTCATTTTTGGCCAGACGGCACTCGTGCTAACCAGAGAGTGACAGAGAGAAGGGAGGGAGAAAGCGTTCTTCAGCCGAAGTCATGTCTCCCTCCTGCTGGGCTCCTGGGCATGCGTGCACGTGTGTGCCTGTGGTGTTTTTTCAGGCGTCTGGGGCTGAGATTCAAGCGACATGGTCAGCCAGGTGGGATCTGGCTCCCTTAGCCACTGGGCCACCGGGCAGGCCCAGGGAGTTGGGAATTCTAACACAAGCTGGATAATACCCTAGCTGAATGGAAAAGGCACATATCTTTAAGGTATGAACTTAGCAACTCGATCTCCAGAATCTGTTTTGATCCTTTGCCAAGACTTACCACAGAAAAAAATCTTTACATAAAAAGGACTTTTCTTACTTTTAAACTCCCAATCTAGAGTAGATAGCCGGTCTAGTCTGCAGCTATAAAGCTACACATTTGCTCATGTGAAACAGTTGCCCCCTGTTGAATTGTGCTTCTTCTGGTGAGTTTATTCAAACATATTAAAATATGATGCAAAAATGTTCCATAGAAATAAAAAATCAATAGGATTATGGAATTTTGGTTGGAATTACTTTGAAAGTTTTTCTTTTAAAGAATTATTTTATTTATCCACTCATTTATTTTAATTTGTCTAGAGAGAGAGAGACTTTCACAGAGAAGGAGAGAAAGTGAGAAAGCAAGCCCCCAGGTCCAAGATTCAAACCATGGTCGGCCGTGTGGGAGTGTCCTGCACCTTAACACCATGCCACCTGCTGGTCCCACATAGCTTTTTGAGTTCTCTTTCATTTTGACAGAACTATTGGGTGGTCAGAAAAGTCATGGTATATTTTTCTATGTGAAAATGCATCATGACTTTTCCAATGACCCAATATATAGTCCAGCCATTTTAAAAGAACAAGGATCCTCTGTATTTAAAAGAGCTCCGTGAAGAGAATTCTTTCACTTTTCACACTTGAGCATCTGACACAGGTCTCTGTCAGAAAAATATTAAAAAAAATTTTTTAATTTTATTTTAGGCCAGAGTGTGCATGTACGGGAGAGAGAGAGACAGAAGGAATAGGAAGTGCCTTCCCCCTAAATGGGGCCTGGTCTGTGGCAATCCTTTTTCCTCCAGTTCTTCATCCTGGACGACTGCGTGCGTGCCTGGTGTTTTTGAAGTCGCCAAGGCTGTGACCAACCCTGGTCAGCCATGTGGGATCTGGCTTCCTCTGGGCGGGGTGTAACTGCTCTGTTATGGAGCATCCCCCGCCCCCCCCCCCCCTTTTTTTTTGGGGGGTTTTGTTTAAACGGCAGAGGTTTTTGCTATAGGGTGCGTGTGCTCGCCAGACAGACAGAGAGAGACATAGAGACAGAAAGCGAGAAATCACCCCCAGAGGGGATGGCCACGCCGCAATCCCTTCTCCTCCATTCTCCTCTCGGGATCCTGGGCAAGCACGCACACGCGCCCGGCGTGAGTTTTAAGCCACCGGGTCCGGGATGCGAACCGCGGTCGACTATGTAGGAGTCCAGCGACATAGCCATTATGCTAACTGCTGGTCCCCCCTGCCCCTTTGAATACGGGGAGGTGACAGATGGTCACATCTGCGATAGTGAAAAGTCCAAACAATCCGTTCTAGCCAACCGTGCTCATTCTGGTCTCTCCTTTTTCTTGTGTACCATGACTGGGTCTCGGGCTGAAGTGAGACACTCGGGATGATGCTGTCGGTTGAAGCAACGTGCGTTCTGCAGCTTCCCGATGTACGCGCTGAGCGGGTACAGACGGCACCCGGGCTGTCGCGGGCACACGCAGTCGTTTTATCTGTGTGTGCATCGTGTGTGCTCCCTCCAGTGGACTGTGCCGTGTTCTGGGCGTGGGCTCCTCATCTCTGACTCCAAGCCAACTGAACCATTTTTCTCCTGTGCGATCCGTCATGGTCACACCCTTACCTAGTGGAGTGTGCACAGTGCCGGAGCTGGGCCTGGTGTGAGACCATGTCCAGTGTGAGGCCATGCACTGTCACGCACTCCTCGAACCAAATCTGAAAGCTGGTTGGACGGGGAAGACGCTGGGACTACTAGGTCCATTCTATCTCTGGTCTCGTGTCCCAGACCGAGTGGTTCTAAAGATGTGAAGCAGGTCCTCTTTCCTTCTAGGCTCAAACTACTCCACTCCCACCAGCTGTGTGAGCTGCCCAGACCACTGGATGAGGTTTGGCAACTACTGCTATTATTTCTCGGTGGAGGAAAAGGACTGGAATTCTAGCCTGGAATTCTGCTTAGCCAGAGACTCCCATCTCCTTATATTCACGGACATCCAGGAAATGGTAAATGCAAACGTTTAGACAATGGAGGTGGTGGTGGTTGTTTTGGTAAATGCTATTCAAATATATCATATATGCTCTTCTTTTTTAAAAAAAGAATGAATTTATTTAATTTCATAAATTATTATTATTACTAAATTAGACCAGCGAGAGAGAGGGAAAGTGAGGAACATAGTCCTCAGGTCCAGGCCTTGAACCCCAGAAGGACATGTGGGAGTCCAGCGCCTTAACTACCATGCCACCTGCCAGCCCTCCTGTACCCTCTTCTGAGGGGCAAAGGGAGCCTGTGATTTTTCTGTCGTCTGTCTTCTCTTGTTCCGCCTCCTCTGCCCTGCCTTCTTCCCTGTCCTCCCTGACTGCTTACTCTCATTCCACCTCAGAACAGCCCTGGATCACCTAGAAACCCAGATGACTATACACGTGCGCATGCGTGCTGGAGACGAAGGATGCTGAGCATTAGAGAGGACCTAGAGCTGAAATCCAGGCTTAATTAAAAGAAGCAGTCCAGCGCGACCAGCAGTTAGCGTAATGGCTATGTCGCTGGACTCCCACGCAGTCGACCGCGGTTTGAGTCCCGGACCCAGTAGCTTAAACTCACGCCGGGCACGTGTGCGTGTGTGCCCAAGATCCCGAGAGGAGAATGGAGGAGAAGGGACTGCAGCATGGCCATCCTCCCTGGAGGGGTGATTTCTCGCTTTCTGTCTCTCTGTCTCTGTCTATCTGGCGAGTGCATGTGCCCTATAGCGAAAAACCTCTCCCCCCACCAAAAAAAAAAGCATTAGGGCCAGAACACAGGGCCAATGACAAGGAGGTAGCAAATTCCTACAGAGCCAGTGGAACTTAAGAGAAAGTATTAATAAACCTATTTTGGGGACCAGCAGTTGGCATAATGGCTATGTCGCTGGACTCCCATGTAGTCAACCACGGTTCAAGTCCCGGACCCGGTGGCTTAAATTCATGCTGGGCGCGTGTGCGTGCGTGCTCAAGATCCCGAGAGGAGAATGGAGGAGAAGGGATTGTGGTGTGGCCATCCCCCCCTGGGGGGTGATTTCTCGCTTTCTGTCTCTCTGACTCTCTGGTGAGCACACGCGCCCTATAGAAAAAAAAAAATCAATAAACCCTATTTTGGAAACAACAGCCAACCAAACTCAGTTCCGCTTACTCCGCAGTAGAGGCAGGATCCTGGAAAGTAAAGAAAGAAAGGGAGGACAAAAGAGAGAGATCCAGGGATGAAGAGATCATGGCAAAGGCTATAGGGTCTTTTCTGAAAGTGCTTTTCCTTCAGCCACCGGCATTCAGTAAGTCCCAGACTGAAAGCATGTCTGCAAAGTTGAGATGAAAGAAGGAAACGGTGTGAGTGCGCGTGGGCGTGGGCGTGGGCGTGGGCGTGGGCGTGGGCGTGGGCGTGTGCCTGTGCGAAACCTTAAGCACCTTGCAGAGCTGGGCTGGCAGGGCTACACTTCGTAGGGGGCGCAGAGCCTTCCTGTCCATCAGCCGCCTCGAGTGAGAGCCAAATCCCAGCCTGTGAACTTCGCAGGGCGTACAAGTGCTTGGCCTCCTCTGGTCACCTCGTACAGAAGTCAGATTCTAATCTGTCAGCATAAAGAAAACGAGGTCCTAGTCTGTTTTGTATGCTCCTTTTATGTTGATATTTGGGCACTGACCCTGCTTTCTGTTCTGTTTGGGGTAGAATCAAGTTACAGGGAACAGATTATTACCAAGCCAGCGCATTGCTGTTTTGAATATTGGTCAGATGGCGGTTTTCGACAGGTACAAAGATACTTCTCATGTTTTGAAACGATATGAATGTGAGAAAATGACTTAATACACACCGTTATGACGTGCATTGTATATTTTGACCTATTGAATAATCATTTTCATCTATAGATTAAAGATTTTGAATGACTTCAGTATAATTGGATTTTTGCCTTTGAGAGGTCCTAAAGTGGAACTAGACTGCACTGTTTGAGGTAATTCTGATAATATGTATTCCAGTAATCTGGTTGGTCCTTAATACAATTTAACTTGGACAAATTTATTCTAGTTAAGCCATAAGAACCAATGTGGGGGACCAGCAGGTGGTGTGGCAGTTAAGGTGCTGGGCACTCCGACATGGCTGACCACGGTTCTAGTCCTGAAACTGGTGGCTTGTTTTCTCATTTTCTCACTCTCTCTCTGGTCAAATTAAAGTAAATGAATGAATAAATAAAATGAAATAAATCATTCTTTAAAAAAATTAAAAAAAAAAGAACCAATGTGTAAACTTGTTTGGATTAAATAATTTTTCTATGTAAAAAGAATTCAGTTATTTTAACATCCCTTGGGTTTCCAGAGACATAATTACTCTAAAGCAGCTGGGAAGAACCTATAGTCTTGGGACCGGCAGGTGGCGTGGTGGTTAAGGTGCTGGACTCCCACATGGCTGGCTGTGGTTCGAGTCCCGGACCTGGCAGCTTGCTTTCTCACTTTTCCTCTCTCTCTCTTTCCCCCTGTCCCTCTCTGGTCAAATTTAATATTAATTAAATAAATAAAGTTAAATAAAATAATTCTTTAAAAGAAAAGAACCCATACTCTCTAACTTTATATAACTTCTTATTGTAAGAAAAGATGAAGGCATCTCGAGTCTTGTTTTCTGCCAAAGATCACTGGTTCGTTTGAAATTCCGGATAGACATTAAACTTCCACCTCTGAGAGGGGCTTTCCCATTATGTCTTCCCTCAGTTAGATAACAGAACCATGTGGCCCATCCATTAGGCATGCCATTTTAATTTTATGACCTCTGCTAACAATAGCTTTTTAAAAATAGTATTTATTTATTATTATTATTTAATTTGACCAGAGAGATTCAGAGAGAGAGAAGGAGAGTGAGAAAGCAAGCTGCCAGGTCCAGGACTTGAACCACGGGCAGCCATGTGGGAGTCCAGCACCTTAACCACCACGCCACCTGCCGGCCCCAACAATAGCTCTGTTTTCTGGACTCCGTGGCAGCAATGCTCTCCTGGTTCTGCTGTAGCTGCTTCTGGGGCCGTGAGCTGACCGAAGTCCAAGCAGAAGTGAGGAACGGGCTGGAAACGCTGCTGTGCGGGAGCTGCTAGCCCGGAGCCGTGACTCATAACGCGAGGCACTGCCTCAGAAAACTGGGGCATGGCAGCTCCTCCACGTGACCCACGCGGCAGTGAGGGGTGAGGAAGGAAAGCGCTGAGGCAGAGGATGTGGGCGAGCTGGAGGTGCTGCTGTTTCTCACAGGTCCTCCGGGCAATAGAGGGGTGTTGGAAGAAATTTTGTCCTTCCTTTTTTTTTACCCACCAAGATCCTGCCTCCACTGCTAAGTGAACAGTTAGACCAGGTGTTCCTTAGCTTTCTTTCTTCCTTTCTTCCTTTCTCTCTCTCTTTTTTTTTTTTTTTTTTTTTTTTTTAGGTTTTTGCTATAGGCTGCATGTGTTTGCCAGAGAGGAGAAAGAAGACAGAAAGTGAGAAATCACCTCCCCTCACCCCTCAGGGGGTGGCCATGCTGCAATCCCTTCTTCTCTATTCTCCTTTCTGGATTTTGGGCACCCATGCACACGTTCCTGGCATGATTTTAGTTACTGGGGTTGGGATTTGAACCACCTTCCACCATGTGGGAATCCAGTTCCCTTAAGCACCATGCCACCTGCTGACCTGACCAGCCGTTATTTCTACAACAGGTTTATGTTCTAGGAAGGCCCTCTGGTTCAAGTGAGCACTGGAGGGAGTAGACGGGCCTGCTAGATTTAACCGTTACCACAGAGACATGCTACTTCAGACATTCCTGTGGGCTTTTGCTTAATTCTCTGACGGAATTCCTTTTCTCACTCCCGCTTTTGTCACATCCTCTAGAAACACATGGACTCATACCGGATCTATTGCGTCTCTTGCACTGATGGTGTTATTTATTTTTCTCTTGGCAAGATCTACGTACTATTTTGAGACATGCATGATGTTTCTAATATCATACTTGGGTCTGAGGAGCTGCCAAAAATGTGTGTGCGTATGTGTGTGTGTGTTGCTGCTTAAACTCTGGTGGCTGTTTCTGTGAATAATTGAGAGGCAAAGCAAAGGGGAGAAACAGTTATTTATCTGTGTGTGCGCACAAGGAGTGGCTGAGAGCCAACAAGTTGATAACCAATTCTTAGAACAGGAATTTCTAGCTTGTTACAGACCGTTACACTTCTCGGTTATCTGGTGTTATCTATAACACAATTTAGCTAGCTTAATGTTGTTTCTACCCTCATGATTTTCCCAAAATTGTTCTGTGCATCTGTTGTTTTCACATAACATGATTTTTTCCTCTCTCTCTCTCTCTCTCTTTTTTTTTTTTTTTTGAGAGGTTTTTGCTATAGAGTGCATGCACTCGCCAGAAAGAAAGAGACAGAGAGACAGAAAGTGAGAAATCACCCCCCAGGGGGGATGGCCATGCCGTAATCCCTTCTCCTCCATTCTCCTCTCAGGATCTTGGGCACGCACGCACACGCGCCCGGTCCTTTCACATGACATCTGTGAACCTGTTTTTGTTTTTATGGTGACATTGAATCTGTTAACTCAGAGTTGTGACATACATTGCTGGATTAAGGGACACCACAACATCTTTTGTTTAAATTATACAGTAGCACAACAATCTGAACATCTGTGAGTAACTGTTATGATAAATGATAACATTATTACAATTTTCCCAGTTTAACCTGCTACCTCGTGTCCCTTGGGCCAACATTTCCCCCCTTCAGATTTTTCACCTGCAACCTCCCTCGCTCCTGTTGCGTTCTTGCCACTGGTCTGCAGTGAGTGGCTTAAGTTTCTTTCTCTATCAAACAGGCTTATGTATGACCTTGTTTGTTCACAATAGTGGCAGGTTACAGTAGTTGCACCAGTGAACCTTTAAAGTATAAGAAAGAGAAATAAAGTAAATACGGGGTTAACACTGTTTGTTTGTTGTTTCTGTTACATGCATGCTATACAGGTCTGTTAATACTTTTCAGTGTGGTACT